TCCTGCAGAGGTGAACTCAACTGCTTAGTTAAACTGTGCTGATACAGACATTTGTTTGTTTGGTTCAAACACACAGAAATTGTATGTCTCAAGAAGTCTCACTTCTCCAGCTGTTTTAGCTTGGTTTAAAATCTGAGTATTTCTACCTACATATTATGCCACAGCATCTGTATTTTAATTACTGCTTCAGTTTCTTTAATCTACTCACTGTATTTAGGATTACAAGAAATGTATGCTGGGTACTGTGCCTTTCTCAATGCTCTACATTAATTAGCAAGCTTTTTCATGAGATAACTCTGCTGCCATTGACTTCACAGGGAGGAAATGCAAGCTCATGACATCTCCTCCACAAACTGTACAGTCCAGGGCTTTTTAATATCTCTTCTCTGGAAATGCATTTCCTCCCACATCCTATGTCTTCTCATGTTTGTTCCCCCTTCCGGTACCTACAATTACGTCCTCTTTAAGACGGGATGGCAAAGTTAGTTTAGGAGACTCTTCAGTTACCCCAAATATATATTAAAAAAAAAAAAAGGAAAAAGAAAAAAAGATTAACAAATGATTTACAAACTTTTCATTTTCAGTAGCTTAGGCTCAGTTACTCAAGCCAAGAAAAATTAATCTTGCAAGAAACAGTATTGAGAAAAAAGTTCCAGGCATTCTGTTGTTTCCAGCTGGGCTTAGTGTGCCTTTGTGCCTTATACAAACTCATATTTTCTTAGGCAGAACCTCTCTCAAAGACATGTTGGAAAAGGTAAGGCCATAAATCTGTGTCAGGTCAGATGTGCAAGGCTCTGGTGCCTAACAGTCATCCCAGCTTATTTTTATAAATGCTTCCATAGTTTGTTTAGGCAAAGTAATGCATGCATCGTAGAAGAAAATCACTCAATGCCCATCTGGTAGATACGTGATATATAAACTGTACATAAAAGCACAGAGTTCAGTACCAGAGCAACGAACGGTTCAAACATTTGTTAGAGAATTTTGCTCACAGATCATAAAACCAGTAACAGGCACAGTCTTCTGCTCAAGTCTTCTAAAGTTTATATGATTCAAACTATATGTACATCTCTGTATAACCATGTGTATTTGCTCTCCATCACAGCTTCTGAACAGCTGAACACAGAATACAAATGGAGGTTTCTGTTTACCATCACCCTTAAAGAAGTATCTTTCTCACTACACAAGAAGTTTAGAGTTTTTCCCTAACATAAATGCTTAATGTTGAAAATAGGATTTTTATTTTTAGTTGGAATAACGAAATTGTCTCATTTCACCATTGCAAACAAGTAATGTTTTTTAGTACCATGTGTCATTAAGCTTTATAATCATTTTCTAAAATACCTGCCATACACTTATTACCTTTTTCCCCTTAATAGCATTATATAAAATTGTTCTTCATCATACTTTTAAATATCACTCCTATTAACAAAACCACTGATTAATTTTAGTCAGAACCTGGCCTACTCTTTCAAAAAATTAAGTTTAAAATAAAATAAAATAAAATAAAAATAATTAAATAATTCTGACTACTTCTTTACAAATGAACCTGACATGAAAAAATCTAAGTACTATAAAACAGTGTCTTCACCCTAATGTTCAGAATTTCCTAAGGGAAACTAATAGAATGTGTTTATGAAGTGCTCAGAAAAATATTCAGGCAACCCAATATACTATCATCACATGTTGTCATCTTCTATACCTGATTTAAACTGGTTATACACCTTACACAGTATGTAAAAAAGCACTTGCTGAATAGACAAAACAACCTCAGAATAGTTAACTTGAAATCAACATCTAAGCTTTGGGTTTCTATTATTTGGGATTACATCAAGGTCAGCCATTAACTTCTAACTAAAAGAAGCACTTGTTCTAATAATAGAAAACAGCCACCACAATTTTTACAATGGCCATAGTAATACTGTGACACTGAGCCCTGCTATAAACAGGAGCCATGTGGCATGAAATTTTCCATGAGTATCCTAGGAAAGAAAACCCAGCAGTAAACATCATTAGTCAAGGGAGACCTACACGTCATAAGCAATAGGCAAGAGTCCAGGAAGGCCACAAGGTTAAAATGCTTTGTTAGAGTAATTACAGGATTTGAAGGATTAGGCTGAACCAAAAGATTTAAGGACACGGAAGGATTAAAGGGAGAAATAAATAAATTAAATTTAAGAGAATAAAGATATAGAAGGCAGCACAAAAACTATATTACATTCAGTAAAGGTTTTTAAAGAAGAATTGTTAAATAAATTAGCTGCAATTGCAGGCAATGTTACATTGCTTTATTTGTTTGCTATTCAGCAACTGAATCTGCAGAAAGAAACAAAAAAAAAAAAAATCTGTATATTTCTGAGATTAAAGACCTAACAAAACAAGCACATATTTGAGGTGAAATTTCTTAACAACCTCTTTGTATCCCAGAACGTACAGTCATTATGTATTCTGTAGCTTCTATGAAAGTGAAGGCCTGGTATACAAACCGCAGGTGAGAACACACCCACCATACCTATTACTGAAATCTGAAGATTCTTGACATACACACAGAAAATTCCAATCTTTACCTTATGCCACCAAGTTACAACATTTCATAAAGCTTGCCAAGCTTTCTTTTTTGAAAATGCCTACTGCCCTTATAAACTATTAATAGTGAGAATTAGCTCACTGCATTTACTCCCAAGAAGATCTACAGCTTCTGTTTCTCCAATGTTGTGGATGAGAAAAATTATTCAAGGGTTATGATGTCTGGTTGATCCATAGCTCATGAAGCAAGAAGTCACCAGAAGATAAAACCACAACATAACCATAGATATACAACACCAAACATAAAGGTTTGGTTTTGTTGTTTTTTTTTTATGAAACAGTCACTCATAATTGCAAAAGAATATCAATTTCAGCACAGCTAGGCAAAGAGAGTAAATAAGGTTTGAAAAATAGATACCAGCTTTTAGTTGGAGTTACTTCAGCAGGTGACACCTGTCCTTTTTTTATAATGTTTAGAAATAAACAGCATCTGGGCATCTCAGTAAGGATGTCTGAGAGAAGTTCAAGAGATTAAAAAAAAGGACGAAATGATAAAGGGGAGTAGGGAGAAGAATCAGGTACGTGAGGAAGAAAGTAAAATGAAGAGGAAAGTGTTCAGTATGTAGATGCATAAACCAGACAAAGGATCCAAACACAAAGCTCAGACAAGAGAGAACAAACGAACATAACGTTTATTTTCGAAATTTATGTTTCTTGCTGTTCCATCGTTTTAAAGACATCCACTATCACAACAGTATTACCACGTTTGACTCAACTTCACTGCTCAGCCTAACGACAGCTCACCCAAAGTTGACCAAGGTCCAGTGTGTGGGCACCACCTTCTGGTCAGCGGCTGGAAGGCAGGAAAAAATAACTAATTTTTAATTCATTTTTACCGGAACAGCATAATTTTGATGCGAAGATGAATGCACACAGTTTTACTACCTCATCAGGTTAGTAGTTGTGGGTCTGAAACTATGATAATTATCATTCAGATGTCTCACTTCAAACAAAACCAGGTAGTGTTATCAGCCCCAAAAATCATATCCTAGATTCTTCATACATTTTCTTAAAGGTCTTTATTAAGGCCTGGATGTTTAGTTTCTCTCAAAATTATCACCCTAAAAGCATAGTTTTGCTTAAGGAACATTAAATGAAGCTGTAAAGTGGTCGGTATTAATTTATCAATTAAATAAAAGATTCTAGTTACAAATTTTTATTCACTTTTCTTGAATATTACTGTAGGGCGTTTTTCTTTCTTAAGTGGCTATTTAATTGGGTTTTTCAGTCAGATAGCAAATTGTTTCACAGGATTGCAGAAATTCAGACACTAGCCCAGTTCAGAGATTCTGTAATTACACCTGACTTTATTTCTACAATAGAAATGGATGCAGTGCTCAGGAGCAGTGTGTTACAAAGAATCCCAACTTGTCATACTGATTCGTAACTTACTATTCATTCAGTCAGCTTGAGTTAACCTGTCTCAGATTGCAATAAGGCAAAACTTTATATATTTGAATAGAGCATATCTTTCAGCTGAACTATGTTCTAATCAAATATTGCCATCCTACACTAATCATTTTTTTTATTAATGATGGACATTCTCATTTTGAGGAGTGGTAGAATTCTGCAGAATGTTGATACCCACTTTTCTGCATCACTGAAAAAATCAAGTCACTTCTCTTACAAGGTGCTGTCATTTTCAGCAAAAAAATTATCAGTTGTTTGTTTTCTAGAAAAAAATCATCTCCTGACAGCCCACACTGACAAATTTTGCTATGCTCCCTTCAGTGTGCTGAGGCCTGACAATTAGGTTTCTAGTGGCATTGTTAGTCCTCATGCTCATTTGGGGCCGGTTAGTGATTAAATCATTCTCAGAGTGGGTTTGGGGATTTTTTTTAATTGTAAAGCTGACCACCAGTAGCAGGGATGGCTACCAATTTCTCTCATACGGGTCACTGACCAGACACCAGATGGTGGAAATACTCTGTTCGTACTAATCTGGCCCGGAGTTGGCAATTCAGGGGAGAAAAGCTTTATCCCATTACCAACTGCCTGAGCCATCCTGTCTCACACCTGCAAGCTAAAGACAGTTAATAGTCTTGAAGTAACTACCACCCCCTCAAACATCCTATCTACAACCCATCCCAGGCTCCTATTGGGCAGATCTCAGAAGACATCCATAAATGTCAGTACACTTTACTGAACTTAAATTCTACCTAAGGAGGAATAAAAAAGAAGCCAGGCTGGTAAAATAACACCACCAACTGGCATAGTGCTACTTATACAAAAGCTGGAAGGAAAACTTTACTGCAAATAAAATATCAGGAAAAATAGAATAGAAGCTACAGGGAAAAAATAGAAAATACAGTTAGAAAATAGTCAAACACCTTAATCAGCTCTGAACAGTAGAACTAAGAGCTTTTTTTTTAGTGAATTCATTCATCCCATCCTTACAATTTTCTTTGCCTTTGCACAAGTACTCTGTTTTGCTGCACATTAAATATTTCCATTTTTATACATTAGGATTCTGTGTTGCATCCAAAATCTCTATCAAAATTCCTACTTTCCACCACAATTTGCCAGGGCAACTAGTGTTCTATTTGTGAAAATGGCACAAAATATATAATTTGGAGTTACAGATAACTGCAAAGGAAACAATTCAAAGAATTCCTGAGCTTCTTTATATTCAGACTCAAACACTGAAATTCTTTAAAAATGCAGATGTGTTTAATATCAATATGTGTTTTGAGAATACGAGAACACAAGAGGAAGGAGTTAGTAGGTTATTTTTATATGTAGATGTTTACATTTCTCTGCATTAGATCTGCATATATTTGGATCTATATTCCTTCGGTTCTGAAGAAAAACACTATTCAGATTACGTATCATGATCTAATAAAATCCTATTACACCATAATTACTTTATATAGTTAGACTCTTTTACCCATCTGGAAGATCTGACTATTCAAACCTGTTGAGCAGTGCACAAAGAACTCATTTACAAAGGAACCATCAAAGTAACTGTACAAAATGTGCCCTACAAAAAAGTGTAAGCATAGCTCCCTTAGATGTCTTAGTGTTCATTCCTCACTCTGTGTTTCATACAGCTTGACACGGCAGGCATAGAAAGTTGTGCAGTATATTAAGTGCTTGGTAAGCATAAGTTTTATTTATGACAATTTACTTTATTCATTTACAGCTATGATGTCTCTAAGGACTGAAAATACCCCATCTTCTGTCCATAAAACCATCCTATTACATCATGCTATGTGTCACAGTAATGGTAGCGAAAACATTGTTCTAAAGTAATGACATATTCTTTATGCTGATTCTTTTCCTATGATCTTTTTTTTTTCCTTGAAAATACATAATTAGTCCTTGCCAAAAAATTTAGAATACTAAAAATCCCTCAAGTATACACTTTTCTATATTGGAACTGCAGCTAAAATTGTCTTGAGGTTTGAATTTCTCAGAATAATTATTTTAAAAGTGTGACATACTCTTTTTTCATCTCAGTAATAAGATTGATATAGCTTTTCTGTGAAAACCCCTTGTTCATTCCAGTGTAGCAAAACTGGCTCCAGAGAACTAAAATAAGCGATGTTAAAGAAATAGCATTTTCTTAATGCAAACTTCAAACACATTAAAAGTATCCTACAAGTATGGTATACTGGCACTCCCCTATTAGCAGTATACAGAAGCAACAACATTAGATCTTTACTCTACTGGTGAAATTTACATGAATTAAAAAAAAAAAAAAAAAGAGAAAAAGGAAACATTGAAAGGAACATGGAATTGGAAAAAAAAGTTTCAAAAAGAATATAATTTTTCAGTACTTTGCAGTTAATGCACGAAACTCTGACTTTTTCTTTAGTTTAGAATCATAGAGTCATCGAATAGTTAGGGTTTGAAAGGACCTTAAGATCATCTAGTTCCAACCCCCCCTGCCATGTGCAGGGACACCTCCCAGTGTTATTTAGGGAAGACAGCAGCAAAAAGTAAGTTAAACTAGACTAAGGAAGATACTTAGAAAAGGTATTAGGGTTATATATGGCTTAGCTAAGAAGACTGTTTTTTCAGGCCCAGATAGTAATGTAAACCAGAGAATGCATATCAAAAACAGAATCAAAGGAAGATACACGAAAGAAGTGGGAATTCTTAATGTAAATGATTGCAGCTGAGTCTGAGGATGGTTAACCTGTTAGTATTAGCAGCCAGATGGTCCATGGTCATTGCTAAGTAATCAAGGTAGCTTTGCAATTCTGAAAATAGAACTGGACCTTTGACAGAAATTACAGTACAAAATCTGACCCCTACTTGGACTTGCAGAACAGCTTCTTTTCAGAAGAGGTATTTAATAACCAGGCCCGGTAACAAAAAAATATTATTAAAAAAGAAAAAAAAATTCTGTTTGGCATCTTGGCTGAACAAGCCAGTTGCTCTGCCCTTTAAAAGCTAAACGTAAGATCACATAAGAAGCTCTTCTGCCATTTCTGCTACTGTCTAGCGTCAGCATCTAACTTAGCCACATTTAGCTAGCAATCTTTTAAAATGGTTTGGTATCTAACCATGTGCTCCTGACGAACTTCACAAGGTCTGGTTTGGAAAGCTCGAGCATTTTTAAGTGTGCATCATCTGGTAATTGTCACATTCTCTAAAGCAAATTATCATCCATTTCCTTTGATTATTTGTTTGCTTGTTTGTTTTTGGGTCAGTATGCACAGCTCAAAGAAAATAATGTTTAAAAACCCTTACTGACCTGGATAGTCACAGCTGACGTGCTCAGGTGAGTAAGAGAACCGTGTATATATTAAAAACAGTGCACACAGGACAGCTTGAACTGAAACTGCAGCATCTGCAAAAATGACGGTAAAAGTGACATTAGGATGATTATGCAAACATAAAGGTTATCCTGGCATAGCAGACTAAGTCTGTTAGGCTAATAAAATGAAATTGTTGAGAGGATAAAAATTATTCTCATATGGCAAACAGACTTCATAGAAGGTGAGAGTTCTTTAAACTATCAGTTAATACCGGCACTAGAACAGTCAGGACATGAGTAAATTTAGACTGGAAATTAGAATGCATTCCTAAGCACCAGGGCATTTTTGTTCAAAAGGATAATGATTATGGTGAAAGACTCCAATGACTTTTTAGATCAATATGCTTATGAAACTTCTGAAATGAAACATTGGCTGACCTAAGGACTTGATTATATACTCGCAGCTCATTTTTAATGATATCAAATGTCTTCTTTGTACAGCAGACTTGTGTCATAAGCTGGTACCTTGTTTTAAAGTCTGATAATATCATGACATGAAAACCAGGTCACAAAAAGTGGTAATGTAGACTCTGATTAAATCCAGATAGTCTTGGACTTGTTCAGACACTGAGGAAATATCTTCATAACCAAGTTACAATTTAAATTGTCATGCCCAGTTAACTTATAGAAGGATGTAATTTGTCACAGCCTGCCCTTCTCCCCTAAAATTGAGAGTAACGTACACTACACAAAATTTCAGTCAAGCCAAAACTTTAATGTAACATGAACAGATGAAGCCTCTGTTTTATAGGGATGCTGTGAAATTGTATAATAAAGTAACACACTTCAGATTATACTATAGGAGGGGAAGGAGGCACCAAGTGAGGGGACGTGTAATGAACCTCACCTTTCCCTCCATTTATCACTAAAACAAGCCATTCTTCTCTCTGGCTTTAGGTGTGTTCTAAGACGTGAATCTAGATCAAGGAGAGAATTTTAGTGTCACCCAGGCCTCAGGAATACTAGAGCTGCTCACGCTCAGCTATAAGCTGGAGCCAGAGTGAGTTTGTCAGCCAGTTGAAACATCGCACACTCGTAACCGAGCTTTTGTCATTAGCAGCCTACAAGCACGGTGTGGAGGGAGGGCTCGCTCGATACAATGTAAGTATTCAGGGATAATCAGACATCAGCAAATTTCCTGTACGGTACGCAGCACCCAGCTGGAATGCTCCCCCGCGCTCAGCAGCGGCGGGTGCTCCCGCACCGGGAGCCCTGCGGGATAGGGGGCAGCCGAAGAACCGCCGCGGCCTGAAGAGGCTCCGCTCCACGCGGGCGGGTTGCAGGAGGTGAACAGCTTTTTTCAACGAGAAGCTGGACCAGACCGGCACAGGTCAGCTCAGCGCGCTGACGGCCCCGGAGCGCGCTCGGGCCGGCAGACAGCCAGTGAAGGCCGCCAAGCGGGAGAGCCGGGTGACGCCCATGGAAAGGCAGCTGCGGCAGCCTGGGCGCCAGGGCGCAGGCGGGCCCGCCTTGAAGAACCACCTGGCCGCACACCGAGCCTGCGGACCCAACCACCGTACCGTGCGCACCGCCTCAGGAGGCGGGCGGGGCGGGGCCGGGCGAGGCGGGGCGGGGCCGGGCGAGGCGGGGCGGGGCAAGGCGAGGCGCGCGCTGCGGCGGGCTCTGCGGCAGCGGCGCCGGCCGTGCCGGCTGCTGCCGGGAGGTGGCGGCGTGGTCGCCAGAGGGCGCCGCATGCCCGCGCGGGCGGCGGGGCGTGGCGCGGCGCGGCCCAGCATGCAACGCGGCGCTGTTTGAATGGCGCAGGCTCTGGGTGTTGGTTCGTGGTGGTAGCAGTGTTTTGTGGCTTCTTCTCCCACTTGGCGTGGGCCAGCTCGATACGATGAGCAGCGGGTGAGTGACGGGATGCGAAGCTCCCAGGGCAGCGGCCGAGGAGCTGGCGCTTGGAACAGGACAGGGGCATAGACCCTTCCTAGCGTGGGGTGCGTCTCCGGCCGCTGAGAAACCGGGAGAGAGGTAATCCTCGGCGAGGCCTTGCGCCTCCCCGCTGGCTCTGGGGCAGCGGGGTGGACGGGGCGGCCCAGGCCCCAGTCTGCCTCGCCGAGGCAGATGCTGCTCCGGGGCGCCCCGCCTGGAGTGTGCGCTCGGGGTTGCAGGCTGGCCGCTGCCGGGGAGCGGGTCTGCTTCCCGCTGCTGTGGCGACCCTAACCCGACACACTTGCCTGCGCCGCTGGTACCGCGGGGGTGTCGACTGGCCAGTGCAGGGACACCTGCAGCCCCACCGGCCGGCCTGTAGCACGGCTGTTCGGCACTTGCGTCTCCAGCTGGCGAGTTCTGGTGATTCTGTCTTTTATTGAAGTGTTGTCACTCGCCACAACTCAAAAGCAAGTGGGTGCAATGGTGGGCGAGTGTAAGGAAAGCAGGAAAAGTTCTAGTGCTACCGAAGGGGAGGAGAACAAGCTGGGTGTGAGGCCTCCTCAGGGATTTTATTCTTTGGGCGTGACAGATTCCGGGGAGGGGGGAGAGGAGGGAGGAAGTCTTCAGACGCTTGAAGATCAGATTCTGTATTAATTGCATTGTTAAAAAGCCTTCAAGCTTTTTTTCTCAGCTGCTGTGCTGGAGTAGTTGGCGTGCTGTTTAATGTAGAACTAAAATGAAGAAATTCTAAATAGTGAGATCTGTTAAGGAGAGAGACTGGGAGGTAGCTTTAGAATTTTTTTGTTGCTGTTTTTGTAACATATTGTGCTTTGGAGCAAGATTAAATAAGTCAGTTTTCTTAAAACCAGCGTTCTTCCATCTCTTGGAACATGAATTTAGCTTTTCCCACTCCTCTGTGTTTTTGTTCCGTCTATTCTTGGGCTGTAGTCAGGGAAGGAAATACAAGGTAGTTAGCCATGTTTAGTAGAATTAAAGCATAAGAGAGGGCAAGTTAGTGCCTCTTTTGGCCTTGCTGATTGGAAGGAACAGACTGTTCCAGTCAGAACCTGTCACTTTAATTTCTTATTATCAGTGCGTACAGTTTTGTTTAAAGTTTCTGTAATATTTCATCAAACTCCAGTTACCATTGGTTTGAGTTTCTAAACTTTATAACTCAGAATTTTATTATAATATCTTATATAAAATACCATAATATTATTTCTGTATGTATAAAAAAATTACACGTGGTTATACTGATATATACGTGTCATTCTAGTTTTGTGGACATTCTCTTTTGCCCAGTTATGGTACTTCTTTTTTTGATGTATTTCCATTGGAATATTTTTAATTTTAACAGTTTTGTATGTTGGTCCCAGGATAAGGAGGTTGAGTATGAATTAAGAAGTCTTTTTAAATGCTGTAAATGAACCACATTGTATTTGAGGGTAACATTAGAAAGTGGTATGATCCCAAGCTATGTCAGATGTAGTCACAAAGAGTGTTCAGCCAGGTCGGGATGAGGTTGGTACCCATGCCTCCACTTAGTTTAGAACTTAAGGGGTTTTTCAACATGTCTTTCTCTAGGTTTGAATTAAAAAATTTTGTTGTAGGTTTTTGAAGCTCTTTGGTTTGAGCAATGAATAGGAAAAAAAAAAATTGAGTAGTTTCTTAAAGCTGATGTCAAATACTAATGGGAACGCTGCAGTGTATTGGAATTTTATTTCCTATATAACAGCTATCAGATAATGTCAGTAATGGAATTTTTCCAATTTAACTATTTGTAGGGTGTTCATGAGTGAAAATCCACAGGCAGAAGTATCTTTTCATTAGTGAAGCATAACTTCAGAAAAGACTAAGTCACTGGCAACTAATGTTACTTTATGGCAGCTTAAAATATCTGTAAATGGTACATCCAGATACAGAAAACTGAATACTTGTTTATTTAACTTTTTTCAAAAATTTTTTTCCAGGAGGTGGATAAAGGTAATTTATTAGACCTTTAGGCTGACCCCACAAGGAGAACTAACTCACACCTGGATTCATACTCAAGAAACTTAACCAAATCTGACTTGTCATTTTTAAAGTTTCTTGATGATTGCTTGTGCCAGAGGAACACGTACAAATTCCATATGTAAGAGTAATAGGAAAGTTAGCTTAAACTGTAGGAATAAGCTAACTTACCATAACTAGTTGCTCATATAAGATTTGTCTTTAAGGCAAATTCAATACAATTCCTCTAATTTTGGGCCACACATGAAACTTTTAACTGTAACAAATGGCCTGACAGGTATAGCACATCAAAAAAATGTGTCCTGCTGGCACTGAAGACACACTTTTTATAGTGTTGCAGAAAATTTTTGCATTAACATGCTCCTTGGAATTTTTACCTCCAGTTTTACTTTGGAATTTTTACTTCCAGTTTGTTTTTAAGAGAATGCAGTATTTTGCATCTAGTGAACTGTCAGCTTAATTACTAAACAAGGAGATGGGTCGTGGTTTTTTGTTTGGTTTTCAGTTTTTTTGTGTTTTTTTTAACTCAAACTGTTTCATATTCAGATGATGTAGATGCCATCTAAAAGTGAGAGACAGATGGATTTTGTTAACATTTGTCAGAGTTAAAATGAAAGGAAATTATGCCAAGCTTACAGAATCACTTCTGCATCATGACATAGTTTTAGTTTATTTTTGTAGACAGATTACCCTTTTGGAAATAAATGTGGAATAACCATTATTGGAAGCTTCTCATAAACATTTTAAATCTGATAATGACTAACAAAGTTACTTGACCATTATTAGTTCCCTGATGTGTACGTACTTTGAATACTTTCAAAGTATGAACTCCCCTTCTTAGAGAGTAACAGTTAACTCATCTGAGTGTAATATTGTCATCCTTGAACTTGCAGTATTGTGGTGTGTGTTCTGTAAGAAACAGATGTTAATACATGTGTAGATTACGTAACGTGAATAAACGTTTGTCCCTTTCTGGGGGCCGTGCCCAGAATTTAGGATGATGGGAGGGAGTGGTGGAGTTGTTAATACTTGCCTTTGATAGGTACATACTTGAAAGCCTTTTAGTATGGCTTGCTTTGCTTGATTCTGGTAGTTGTATTGCATCTGGGAGAGATCAGAGAAAACAGCAGAAGAAAAGAAAAAAGAAAACTTTGTATAGGTACTGTCTATTGGACGTGGGCACAAATGAGCTTACTTACCAAGATATATGGCTGCTGTTACTCTAGGCCTGTTTCCTGAAAATTGCAGAGAGTAAAATGAGGAAGAAGGAGGTTGGCATCTGCTATGAGAAGTCAGCCATGGAACGGCTGAAATTGATGGAATGTTAATCTGTCATCTTAATAAAATTGTGTGTCTCCATTCATAATTGCAGTGTACTTTGTTACAGTTGTAAAACAGTTTGGGCTTGTGTGATGAAGGGCTGAGGCAGAGCTGAAAGGACTTGCATTCTATCCTCTTATTTTTAAAATTTGTAAAGCAAGGGATTGCATTGGCCTGAATGAGCTGCATGACATATTGTTCTGAACAAATACAACCAACTGTGCTTATCATAAGGGAATAATCAAAGAATGCAAGATGTTAAAGTGTAGAGTATTAGATCATGCACAAATTAGTATCTTATGGCAGTTTAAAAATACTCTGCATATATCCCATAATAACAGTGGCTGATAGTGTCTACTTAGCTATCTGTAGGTGATGATACCTTATAGCAGGCAGGAAATAAAAGTTGTGAAAAACCCTGTAAAGTGCCTGGACAGCTATCATTTTATCCTGTGTTACTAAATCTTTGGAAGCAAGTTTCTTGAGATATGGGCTAGGTTTTTTAATAGCAGCATTATATTTAGATCTGCCAGGTTGTTTTGCTTGTGTTCTGCTCTGTCTCTGGGCTACCCAGGTTGTGTTTCTGTATTTTATCACAATCTTTAATCTTTTTCAATGAATTTGCACAGTTTACCCTAGAACCTATGTAAACAGTTGGGTCTGCAGCATCATGTGGCAGGTTCAGGTTGATTATAATATGCATGAAGATCCACCCCCTTTTGTAAGTTTTGAACCTGCCTTCAGCTTTTGACCCTTCATTCTTACATTGGGCACAACAGTGAATGATTTCTATGCAACTATTCCAAGCTATTCATTTTTATAGACCTTTGTCGTCT